ATAACAACTGATCGTGGGCGGCAATTCGAAAGCGGTTTATTCTTCGCTTTGACTAAAATCCTTGGTTGCATGCGTTTTCGAACAACAGCCTACCATCCTCAAGCGAATGGTATGGTAGAGCGTCTACACAGACAGTTGAAAGCTGGCTTATCAGCTGTAAATAACACCCATTGGACTGAATCCCTTCCGTTAGTTCTCCTAGGGATACGAAACGCCTTAAAAACCGATGCTGGTTGTACTACCTCTGAGCTAGTATATGGCACAACACTACGACTTCCAGGTGAGTTTGTTTCTCCCTCCTGCTTCCCACCAGTGGTAGATCACTCCTCATACGTCAGCAGGCTTACAAACGCTATGCGTTCAGTTAAACCTGCTCCCCTTCGACCACAGTCCATTGATGTTTTCGTTCACCCTTGTTTAAAAACTTCTTCACATGTATTTGTTCGTCGTGACTCGGTACGTCGTCCTCTAGAACCACCATATGACGGACCATATAAAGTGATTAAACGTACTGATAAATTCTTCGTTTTAGACAAAAAAGGCCGCAAAGACACCGTCAGTATCGACCGTCTGAAACCAGCTTACTTGGAAGGTAACCCCATTAGCCTGGAGCTAAACGTACCCGATAATTCACAAGTAATTGAATCTACTTCAGTCTTCGAAGAACTCCCTAGCACGGTGAAAGCCACCGAACCTTCGGTCGATCACTCTAAAAAAACGCGTTCTGGACGTCACGTTAGATTCCCAGAATACCTTCACACCTATTTCACATAACTGAGTGACACATCAATTTTTTTATGTTGCGTCATTTAACACAAGTAAATGATATTTTTCCTATAACCGTACATAAAATTAAATTAGATGTATATTTTTTTTCCCGATATTTTGAACTTTACATTATTTTACTGTATAGTAGATGCATGTCATATTTTTTTGGCAAAAAACGCTTATTTGGTACATTTTTCTTGGCAAGGTTCTCAGCATTCTTGTTTTCTTTTCCAGGTGCAACGGGCACTGGACAGGAAACAAACGAAGCACGGGATCCAATGAACAACATCGAGGAAGCTATGTACAGACACCCTATTAGCATAGGCAGACAGACCAGCAGGCTCTCGATCAAGCCGCTCGGAAGATTTTTTTCACCCATCAGGGAACCATCGAGATTTTTTTACTTCCGGCTGGTCATGTCTTAGGGTCCTCACAAACCCACTAGGGGGGGAGTGAGCTGTAGCGGTAAATAATTCCCCAAAATTATTAACCACAGCAATCATCACTCAACATTGGATGCTGACCATCGCTGTTTAAGTCGACTTGTTTAGCTGAAGGCTTATGGTCAAGCATCCCCGCCATTTGGTGCTCCGTCGTGTCACGTGCGTGCACGATTACTAGCTAGCTAAGCATTCACCTCTACCCGCGATTTTGTCCCGAAATATAATACGTACTTTGGACGACAAAATCTGGTCTTTTGCTTTACCATTTGTTACTCGAAGAACGAACACTATAGAGGTTGTTGGTATAAGATCTTGCGTTAGTATAATCCGTACAACTCGCGAACGTCGATACCCGCAGTCCCTAAAAACTACTACCTAACAAAATAAGTGGAATAAAATGGACATAAACCGACAACATGGAAAAGATATAACTCACCACAACATCACATGGACAGATGTACGCTCGTTGGCCACCATATATCCCTCACCAACTGCAACCCACCTTTCCTTAGATAATGTGATGAACTTATATCCATGATGTTGCTGAGCAGTTAATATTCGCAAATCCTGTCGGAACAGCTGAAATTCATAAACCTTCCTCACGCTAAGAAAATACCCACGAGCAGTAGAATTCCATTAATTAATGCGTCTGAAGCTTATGTATTTACTCCCAACAATAACATCGCAGATCAAATGAGATAAACATATCATTGATTTCAAAATAACACATCAATGAACTATAATTCAAGGATTCTGCACACAACGAAGTTATGTATGAAAACTGGCTTCAAGCTTTATTTTTTCTCCCAGACACTTATAATCCATCCACCAAAGACCTGGTTTTTTTGTTAATGCGAAGACAATACTTCTGTATTTCCTGATGTGTTGCACTCACTGACAATCTGGCAGATTTTTCCAACTATGCACAGAAATGATTGTATATAATTGAAAAGGCTGTTTTACACTACTGGGATTAACATTTATCAAGTGTATGTATAATCTACAGCGAACATGTAAGGCATATCTGCCTGTAAATTGTGATTCTATGGTTCTATTTCTGTAACAGTTTGATGATGCCTGTAAACTGGCGTCCCTCATGTACTGTACTATGAGAATAATTTTATTTATTTATATTTATAACTAGTTCCTTTTAGATGTACTGCTTATATTTGGCATATTCTTGTTAGGCAGATTCAAAGTAACTGTTAGTAATTGACTGGGGAATCTAGGAGTATAGGACGAGCAACCAAATATGAACTAAATGTTCTATATTATTTGCAAGGATTTAATAATCTAGTGAATAATGAATTAAATTTCGTTTCTCTGAATAGGTATGCCCTGCTATAATTGCGCTCAACGGAAGCAAAAGTACATAAAAACCATTTGTTTACTACATCGCAGGTCATCAGTTGGAAATTTAAGCAGTCACTATAACAGAAATGCCGGTACGAAAGAGCCCATTGATGCACGTGAATAAGTGAATCCGTTTGAGTACTTCAGGGGAACATGGGTGAAGCGAGCATTCGGCTGAGATAATGTTCCTGAGGTTGACATTTTGTGTCTGATTATTTTCTCCCTATGACATGCCATGCACTCTCTCACCCACTTCTACACGTCATGTTGTAGGTTTGGCCAAATATATCTTGCTGAGATCATTTCGACTGAGTCTTTGCTCCAGGGTGTGATAATGCGCGAAAATTACTAAATATAGCTATCCTCATAGTTTTAAGGACGAAGGACTGGCAGAGTCATTTGTGGTCTCACAGTATATGAAGTTGTCGTCTACAGGAGATGGTTATTGTGTGAGGATATGTTTCAACTCTTCGTCGATCTTCTCGCTTTCAGTCAGTGCTTTGAAGTCTACAGTGATTTGTTGCACTCAACTCACGTGCAATCTAGATGGTGCGTCTGTCATACAGTTCTCCAGCTGCTTCGCATGTCTTACGTCACTGGTAAACCATGATATAGAATCAAGGTGACGAATATCGCGTGGTGCGTATTTGTCAGCTTTTGAGCTGACAGCGTGAGTGAAAGGCTTGTGACCTGCGTAGCCCGTGGACGGTATGGCCTCTGCCATGTGACGGAAGTGTTTAATTGCTAGGTAAATTGCTAGCAACTCTCTGCCAGAAGTGGAATACCTCATTTCTCCATGATTAAGGCATTTGGAGAAGAATGCCATCAGTTCCCAGCTATTTACAACTACCTTATTTATAGCTGCTCCTTTGCCTTTTCTGATGCATCTACCATTAATGCAAGAGCAGCATCCGGATTGGGATGTTTCAGGGTTGTGGCTTTTGCTGATGCTTCTTTTGGCTGTACGGTTGTGTCGGATGCCCCATTTGATGACTGAAAGTCCTTTGGTTTCCACCTTAATGAATCAGCCAGAGGCTGCATGTGTTGTGCACAATTGGGTATAGGGCGTCGATAGAAATTCATTAAATTCAGGAAACATAACATAACAAGTACTACTCGATGGTGTATTATTATTAAAAAGTCGGTAACGGATACTGCCTGATGATATCCACCCCTTTGGGGATGGGTGCGATCCCGTTACTGTCAATGACGCCACCCCCGAGTGACTCTATTGTTTCCACCTCCGAATCGCACCTTGGTTGATTGTCATGTCGTTTTCTTCTATTATGGGTAACACTGCCTGATCAAGTGAAGCAATCCACGACGGAAAACCCATCAAATCTTTGAAGTTGAAGTAATTGTGACACGATACTGACCACCATCACCGGTGATATCACTAATTCTTGTGGACTAGATTATACGGCAGTTTGTCAGGAGTGGGTAGATGGCCATACGTCGGACTAACAAGAACACTCCGGAATATTTGTATATTGTGGTCAATTTATGCCTCGCATCACATTAATTCGAATATATACAGGTGAAAAGCAACAAATTGACAGAAGTGGCAAAGACAGGATTTCAAGTGAACATAAAGAAGACGAAGGTGATGAAGATAGCCAACCGACAACAACAAGCACGAATCACTATCAACAGATCAGATTTGAGAGAGCTCACCTCCTTCACTTATCTAGGAAGCATCATTTCAACTACAGGCAACGGCACGGATGATGTCAAAACCATAATTGTGAAGAGGAGACAGGCCCTCATCACTCTGAAATCAGCTTGAGAATCTGCTGCACTCAGCAAGAGGAATGAAGTTCGGATTTGGAACACCAAGGTTAAGTCATTTTGTCTGTATGGCTCGGGAACTTGGCCAGCGCGCCACGAAAAGCATTTCCAACAGGTCGCTGCAGACTTTCATCGCTGGCCCCATACTGAAGGTCAGATGTCCGGAAGAGATTAGCAATAAGAAACTCTGGAAACGAACCAGCCAAAAACCTGCCGCTCAACAAGTAATTTGAAGCAAACGGAGACGGATCGGGTACACGCTGAGGAGACTGTTGAATAACATCTCACGCCAGACCCTCTAGTGGAACCCGAGTGGGAAACTACGGCCCGGGTGTGTCCACAAGTGACATGGAGGAGATTGTGTGAAGGCGAAATGGGAGTCTGTAGACAATGGTGGGGCCAGTGAAGAGAACTGTGGATAACAGGACGAAACGAGGATGTGCTGTTGAAGACCTATGTTCCACTCGGAACCAAAGGGAATAATAGTATAAATTGTAATTTAATAGTCGGACCATAGTGATTCCAGTCTGAAAGAAGTGCGGCATCTGTAGTCCATCATCGAATGCTTTTTAAGGGCTGAGGGATGTAGAGATTTACACAAGATACGCTGTGTACAAATGAAATTTCTTAACCTTCAACCCCTATAGTACTTGTTCCGCTCAGTCCAAAGACAAATCAAATACAAGACTTACTTCTAGACCAGAAAAGCAGAACGGGGGTGATTGCTTGGCTAACCAAGGATCGTGTGCAGACAACCGAAAGTAACACGACAGTGTGACGGATGGTGTGGAAGCTTGACAGTGAAGTTTCAGCTTAACAATTCTACCTGAGCGGTGAAGGTCAGCGCCCAGTTTCGAGTGGAGAATAGGGCGACCTAATAATTTTCGGGGACTGTTTACCACTACAATCTTCACATTCAGTCCTGAATATTCCAGAAATCCGCACGTGGATTTTATTTCCAATAAGCGCGCTTACTGAACACTTGAGTTACTAGGTGTTCTCCAAAGAAATGGAGTGAATGAAGCCAAACTGTTGCATCTCTTCTGCATACATTTACAGATCTCCAGGCAACTACATGTAAGTATTTAGGCAGTTTTTAGTGCACAGATAATGGGCGATGTATTATTGGGCGAGACAGCCGTTCCTTTTGTGAAGACTTGTGGTGTTTGATCATTTCTTGTTGGGTTCCAGTGCTACATTGATTCCACTTATTGAGAACTTATGGTACACTTTTAGAATACTAAGCACGTCCCAAAATAAACTTTTCGCATGTATATCAGCCACTCCGAACTTCGGATATAACTCTTTGAATTTCTTGAAACATGTTCAGTATTTGTAGGTGCACCTAAACTTTATTCTTGCACACAGTACCGAAAATTTACTATGTACCCTAAGCTCTTGCTATCTGAGATAGTAAACCGCCCTGTTAGTTCCTCAACATGTAGTTTATAGTCAATTCTTAGTGGTAGTGTCCTGAGATTTAGGGCGAAGTAGAAAAAGTAATAAAAGCATACGTTTTTCAAGGTTTGTTTCATTTTATTCTATAACTCGGACATACTGTCTGACATTTACTTTGCGATTTTACTTTTATTGGTGACTCATTCGAATGCCTCGAAATTGTCCACATTAGTGCATATTTACTCACCGACTGCCCTCTTGCAGACTCCGAGATCTTTCACTAGTTTTAATCTAAACATTATTTTCGTCGTACCAATTTCTGCCTATTATAGTATCTCCCTATTTATTGCTACCCTATTTTAAGTGAGTTTTTAAGTGTGGTGACTCAAATTGATGCACTTCTGTACTAATTTATCTGTTTATCCATCTGTCATTGACTCTAGTTATATACGTATTATTGTCAAAATTCAGCCTCTTTGAAGAAAACAGAGTATTTGGCGTTCAGTTTTCCGTGTTAAATGTTAGATTGTGCTACAGGAGTTGCATGCTTCGTCCTTTAGTTGAGAACTGGTAGATGAAACTAGATTCTGCTGGATACGTTTCCAGCTAGCAAAATCTTCAGGTTCACTGCGGAACTTCAGCGCAAGATCTTTTGTTTAATAGAGGCAGTGCTCGGGATTGCCCCACTATCTTGATTTATCGTGAAGATTTTACCCTGGTTCCACAGCCTGTAGATACTCTCCCATTTTTTCTGGAATACTTGCATAGTATGTTCCAGTTTCTGCAGTGTTTTGAATTCAGTGCTTGCGGGGCTTCTTATTGTTGATGTGGCGACAAACAGATTTGTAACGAAGCTCTAGGTATTTACTTCATTTTGAGGCACTCAGTAATTTGAAACAAAATTATTTAGCCTAGAGAAGGCATAAATCTTTATCTGAACTCGAAATAGTCCCCATTTTTACAAAAGCATGTGTTGAGTGTGCTTTACTTTCCCTTTTTCCGAATTGGAGTATTAAGTGATAAATGATTAAATTGGAGAAGAGTTACTGTGGCACAACTTCGTGAAATCCCTGCATATTTGTCTAAAGTACATAAAATTGAGGGTTGCCCGATGAATTCCCTGGGTTTCTAACGTCTAATAATTTGGGAATTCATGTTGGGGTGGCCCAAAATCTTCCGTAGTAGCTTAGGTGTATTCACTTCGTATTTAACTACTTTCCATGGAATTATTTTCTTATAAACACTTATATCTGGTGTGCTAGCATTGTTTGTTTACTTATGTGTGGTGTTTTGCAGTGTTGCAAAATGAATCTGTTTAGACTTCTGTGTTGGTTTTCAAATCAGTAACTAAGGCTGCAATGCTTCGTAATAGAAAATATCTCTTTTGTTGGTTTATTGTATCTAGTGATCGCATGTATACTTTGAGTTACGTTAGGTCAGTTCAGCGTAATTACTTGCGAAAGTGGACTTTAGTATCGAGACTAATGGTAATCTGAATGGATGTAATAAAGGTAATCTGTTGCAAAGGTATGCGACAGAACAGTTTTTATCATTATCTATACGCCAGCACATTTTTTAAGGTAATCTGTCCTAAGTGAGACAGTTTACACTAATAGTTATTCCCAAATTTGGTAAATAATGTGTATTCTGCATAAAACTTATCACATGTAGCTAAAAAATGAGTAGCTAACCTGTGGCATACGCATGTCGCAAGTAAAAATCGCGAAGCTCACTCATGTTGTGTAAGGCTGTCTTGGGCACAACGTGTGGCCAAATATCGCTAACATCGCTAGTTTGACTGACATGTACATGGTTTGGTTTCAAAAAATGGTGATTTGGGATAATTAGTGTTAAATGCTTGTTTAGTAGTAGCTAGTAGTAAAATCCGGGACCCGCATTTCTTTTTTACTTGATAGCTATGAGTTGGATGTAGTGGCTCCATGGTTGTTGGTGGTCTTCCCACTAAGACTCGAACTCGGTAGCCATTGCTTCAGTCACCAAAGCAACACCAAAGAACACTGGAGATCATTAAACAAGCTCCGAAGAGACAATAATCTTGTTATTCTACAAGCTGATAAAGGACAAAGCGTAGTGCTAATGAATAAGACAGATTATCTCGAAAAAATGCATCAAATTCTCTCCGATGAATCCAAATTCAAATGGGACAATCAAGCAAAAGATCAAACGTTGTCGATCGAAAAGAAAATTGTACAGCAGCTACGCCAACTATTCAAAAATAAATACATTGATGAAAACACATATAGAAATATCAAGCCGATCGGGTCACAAATCCCAAAACTATACGGGCGTGTTAAAATACACAAACCAGGAGCGCCATTAAGACCCATACTCTCTATGATAAACTCACCATACCACAAAGTAGCACAGTGGTTATGTGAAATGTTGGAGCCCCTGCGGAAACGCTTTGGGAAGTATATCGTTTCTGATTCATTCCAGTTTGTCGAGCAAATCAAAGATTTCAACGTATCTGATAAACATTTAGTCTCTTTCGATGTTACCTCCCTCTTCACAAATGTGCCAGTCATTGAGACTATAGACTTCATATGTGAAGAAGCTGAAGACATACCCATTCCAACGTCGGAATTGAGGAAATTGCTACTTTTATGTGCCAAAAATGTCCAATTCCAATTCGACGGGCGTTTATTCCGTCAAGTTGATGGTGTCGCAATGGGAAGCCCCTTGGGACCACTTTTCGCTGACTTATTCTTATCACGCCTAGAAACCGGTACCCTGCAACAACATATACAAGAAACGGATCTATACCTAAGATATGTTGATGACATTTTTATTGCCTGTGGAAGCAGATCAAAAGCCGAAGACATGCTGATAAAATTCAACTCATACCATCCAAATCTCAATTTCACAGTAGAACACGAGGAAAATGATACTATCAAATTCCTAGACGTTTTTCTGGCGAAAATGAATGATGGCACAATCGAAAGATCTATATTTAGAAAGTCCTCATGGACAGGACAGTACATGCATTTCAAGAGTTTTGTTCCAATCCAGTACAAAAAGAACTTAGTCAGAACACTGTTCAATAGAGTACGAAAAATTTGTTCTGACAGTACTGTTGAGTATGAAATAAAATCCCTGAAGGATATCTTATCTAAGAATGGATACCCTGAGAAGTTCATTAATAAATACTCTAAAGAAAACACCCGCTGCAAAACAATCCAAACAGTTCCGAAGAAACCTGTCTACATCAACTTGCCGTTCAAAGGAGATGATGTACAGGAAATAGTCAAACGAAGACTCGACAAAGCCATCAAGAGAACTTATTATGCTGCAAAACTTGTTTTCCTTAACACCACTAAGCGAGTGCTTCAACAATCTGGGAAAGACCAGTCGCCAATCCTCGACACTTCAAACTGCGTATATCAATTTGAGTGTGTTTGTGGAAGCAAATACATAGGTCGTACGGAAAGGAGATTGTCTACTCGCATGATGGAGCATTTGCCAAAATGGTTGAAAACAGCCGAGTTCAAAGTGCCAAAATCCTCAATAACAAAGCATCTTGTGGATTACGGGCATGATATCGACGCAGTCAAGTCATTCACCATTGTCAGCAGACAAAGAAACAAGAAGATGCTTGCAATTGCAGAGGCTTGTGCAATTCGAGTTTACAAACCAGGTCTCTGTGTGCAAAAGGAGATGGTCGTGACTCTGAATCTACCATGGTAATATGTTTTACTCACAATTCTACCTCTTATTATTATTTTATTATTACTATTATTATTCTCATTATTATTATTATTCTTGATTCATTTAAAACTATCCTTTATCAGTAGCATTATCTTAACCCACTTCAACACTATTATTATTATTATTGTTATATTATATTATTGTTATTATAACTATTACTATTGACATCCCTCTGGTTGCAATTCTTGTTAAATTCTCTAATGTCTAATTGTTTATCTAAGTGATGTAATTGAAGCGTAATGCAATTTATCTTAATTTTGATCTCCCATACTCTCTCTCCCCTTATCTAATTGCACATGACCTGGAAAAAACATTCGCACCTGTCTTTCTGCATGACTAATTCAATGTAGTTTATTTACTTATCAGTCCTATATCTCCCAGTGTAATTTCAAAACTATATATATCCGTGTATGTAAAGAATTCAGTCCTATATCTCCCAATGTAACTTCAAAAGTATATATCCGTGTATGTAGAGTATTCAGCTGACGAGTTCTACCGAAATTTGATGAATTCATTAAATCCTGCTTTATTAACCTTTATTGCTTGTTTTAAAAGCGTTATACACTGAACCGCGACAGCCACCTCATTTGATTTGCTACTATTTATTTGTTTTTTTTTGTTTTGGTTTTTTGTCTCGACTTCTACAGCCAGACATCACCAAGTAATCGCAGTAATATCGAGATATCGATTAGACATATTAACGCGTAATCTCAAATATGAATGAGTTGGTATTAAATAGTTTTAAATTTTTCAATAAGTTGCTGCAAAGCCTACACGTTCTCTCACTTAGTGTAATTAAATTCTGTCAAAATATACTCTGTTGTCGTATAACTAGTGCCGTCTCAGTGATGTAAATACATTCATGCTATCTTCATTTTGGCTGTAATATCCTATTTCTTTGTGTTCTCCATCTACTTTTACTCCGCACTATAACACTACAACCTCCGGTGAAGTCCTTTTTGTGTGACAGAAGGGATGAATGATTAATAAAGGAAATAAGTGTAGGGTTTTGGTTTACTAAGGTATATCGATAAGGTATTGAATATTTATTTGAGTGGCAGCCGGCACTTATATTACGCGTGAGAATTGGAAACGATCTCAGTGACATAAGCGCGTAACATCAAATCCATTAGTTGATTTTCTTCCTCACTTTTTATCATGCCCAGTTTGGTGGCTTTGACTTTAAGTGACTTTGTTTTTATATTACCCTATACTTCATGTAAAAATCCAAGTAAGTCATAACATAACATAATGTTACGGAAACCTTTGCTGGTGTTGACTTTTGTGCCTGAATGTACATGCAGTTAATCAGTACTGTTTGATTTATTTGTTTTTGTTGCATGTTCACGTCGGAAATGTATTAATTAGAAACAAAAACACAAACCCATAAGCCATTTTAGTGTCGTTGTACAATTTCCTGTTGCCTGAACATGTAATGAAGTGTCAAGTGCTGTTATTAGTAGTGATGCGTAGTGAAGTCCTTAAACTATGCACAAATTATGAGTAGGTCAAAACCTGATTAATACCTTGTGTCTTTCTTGTTAGCTAAAATTTCGTTGCACTTCCAGAGAATAATCGGAAAGTCGGAAGAGTATCATTTTAAATGTTTCAACCAATAGTTGTTCGAAAATCTATACTTGATTGAATAGAAGTGTTTTTTTTTAGAATTCGTAAAATTCGTCTGATTTTGGTATTTTCTGTATCTTATATTGTAGGTTATGCATATCATTTTGATGGATTCCCTCCTGCGGTTGCTAACCGAATACTTAGTTCGAAAACAATGGAACGTGCTACAAATCAGCAGACGAATTTAATTTTGACTGTAGTTGGAGATGTTCAGTTTTGTTTTCCATTAGCCTAAAGTATAATGCCTGGTGATCGAAAAAATTTTGAAGTGATAGAATTATCGATGCTAAAAAAGCATATATTTTTCCCACTTTCTGGTTTGGGAAATTTCACTGCACAAACCGTATTGTACCCATTTGTTTTGCTGCGTACACGGCTTCAGTTGCAAGAGGGTGCTCAAGTTTATCGTGGTCTTATACATGCTCTTTCTTCTGTCATTAGGGAAGAGGGTTTTCGAGGATTGTATAGTGGCTACTTAGTCAGGTCATTCCACATATTTTCAGGTAGGTTCATAGTTAGTCTTATATAATTTTGTACACGTTACGAAATCCCAGATTTTTTATACCTACCCATTAATTTTTTTATCTCAAGATCGATACAAAAAGTACATCTTAATTTCACGAAATATCGTACTTAATGGACTGACTTTTTCAGATTCCATGCACTAGAGTGTTAAAGACGAGATCCTATTACCCTGCGAGTTGGTAAATTAATTTTGGGCTTGTTGCTCAGAAAATTTGATTGAAGATAAGTACCGCAAAGTGACGTCGTTTCGAGGTTCCTCTGCAGTAGCGTTACATGTATCATGGTTTATAGTATTTAACTAAGTGAAATAAAGGAGTATATTAGTAACCAAGCGTACTGTAATAAGTTAAGAAGTCTGAGATAAGCAAATGTTGCAATCGATTATTATTTCTCAATTATTTCACATAATTGTGATCTAACGCTACTGAAAATTGTGGATTAATCACATATCCCAGACAGAAGATAACGGATTTCAATCCCTACCTGTTCTGGATGATTTCATATGTTAAAAAGGATTGGTTAGTGAGTTAGTTAGTTGAACTGAATTCAGCTACCTGGATCAGATTTTCCTTTTTGCCAGACTATAGGCCACACATCAGTTGTTAGTATATACACTTTTATTTCAAATAATTAGGTAATGTCAGACATTTTATCGTCAGTGACTATGGTGGTTGTGATGCGATCTTGGAGAAACCGAAAAGTTGTGTAATATTTGCCTTCTGAATACGTTATTTGAATTGTATTTTTAAGTTTTACTTAACATTACAGTGTGAGCTCTTTTTTCATAACTCTGATCAGTCTAAATTTTTTTCTGGTAGATAAACATTATTTAATGGCTGTTTCCTCTTGTAATTTTGTATTTCATATAGCACCGTGTCATGTGATATTCTCTCATCTTCCATAAGCTTACTGTAATTCCCCAATGAAATACAGTTCATTATTCGGGAATGTCCTAGTCAGTCTCATTTTTACTACCTGTCAATGAACAGCTACGAAAAGAATCACCCTGGCTTCTAGTACTCATATGCTCAGAAGAATTAGCATTCTTGTTTGTCTAGATGCATTTGAGTCGTGATAATTTTGCTTTACAGTTGTGTGAAGGGATTTTATAAGGGTTTACAACTGACTTAAGGGTGTTGGTAACAAGTTTAAACAAAACTGCTCAGATTTCAACACATGAGAAGTTCTTGTTATTGGTTACATTTTTTGTCAATGGCGATTTGCTTTTCCACCTTTTTAGTTTTTATCTTACCAGTTGTCAAAAGTCACCAAAAGTTTTTACGAGCAGTGTGTAGATGATCTGAAGAACTTGGTATCAACCTTGTTTTTGTATTGAAATATGGGACGACTCATTGGTTGTGTTCTCAAAGATTATGCATTTAGTGACTGAAGATGCTGCTAGACATTACTCAGGACAGAAATCAATGACGAGCATGCTTCAGCTTCTCCATCCTCTTTCTAAAAGTAATACTAAGTTGTGAACGCCCCACTGAATTTCCTTGATAAATATCATTCTTTTCCTAATGCTTTTTTAGTATTTTATTTGGGGTGTCTTTTGGTGCCTATATTGTACCAATTTTCTTGACTCCAGGTTTTTAGTCAAATTTAATTGTACATTGTCAGGCTTGAGGTTACTTTTCTGTCGAATGTATTTCGATATTCGTATGACTGTATCTGTACTGTAGTAAAAAAGAGTTTTCATCTTCTCAGTAGGCGTAGTTTGAAAGTCATCTCCACTTTATTATGCAATAACTTCAAAATGCTATATTTGACATACTTGTTCAAACATAGGTCAAATGTTAAAAATAGTTCTCTGTTTCAGTCCCTTGATTGTATTTTGTTATACAATCTGAAACATGTTCATTTCATATAATAGGATAGAAATAATGAAGTAAGTAAACAATTGAAGAATCCTATTGAAAAGTAACACAATTCGACTTGGTAATTTGTCATCTCATTTTATATGCTGTTTAGTAACTTTAATAAATCGTTAACTTGTTTTTTAAATACATATATATTTTTCCTTAAACAAACTAGGTACTATTTATGTGTCAACGTATGAGGTGGCGAGACATGCATGTTCTGTTTTTCCAGCTTTAAGTCCAGTTCATCGATCTTTTATCGGTGGTGCAGTTGCTTCATGTGTTGCTCAGAGCTTTTTTGTTCCTGTTGATGTTGTGTCTCAACATTTAATGGTTTTAAATCGTAATCGCTTCCATGCCAACATGTCTTGCAGAAACCAAACACATAAACTTGATTGCATTTCATCAACTAATATAAAGGATTTTCACCCACTTACTCCAGTTCAGTTAACCAAAAGAGAAATGGATTCCAACTGGGGTCGCCTTTGTGGCGTGATTCGTTATATCAAACAAACTCATGGGATTAAGGGTTTCTACAAGGGTTATTTAATATCCATGTGCACTTTTGTTCCCAGTTCGGCACTTTGGTGGTCTTTTTATGACAAGTTTTGTAGTAAGTTACTTGCGTTTGTTGCTATAGTTATTGTTACTTCATTTCACTTATCAGTTCTACAGGAATCTTTTATTATGTGAGCACTGTTTTTCGCTCAATCTACGTCACTTGATTTGAATTTACTAACCTGAAATACAGTTTTGTAGCATACAGTTAGTGTTTTTGTTCTAATTTATAAAAAAACTTGACATCCAATTGCTAACTGCCCCTTAGCGATTTTCATATTTAAATATCAGTCAGTTAGGTCGCGGATTCAAATCTTTTCTCTTTTCCCATTATTCAAAAAACCTCAGTGAACATTAGTTTGATGTTAATTTTAGAACTGCAAAAATGATAATATTAAGCAACTTTTTGACTGTGAACTTTTCTTTCCTGTAGTAAATTTAAGACAAACAATGGTTATGAAAACACAGTATTTAATGAGTCAGCTGAATACTCTGCAAGCATGATTATTTATTTTTTCAAGAGTTGGTCTGTAAGGCTTAGATATGTTTTCATGAGTTTGATCACGGATTGATATCAGTTAGAGAACCATTGAAAACCAGGGAGTACTGGACAGCTGTTTCATCCTAGTTTGGGAATCATCGGCAGTGCGCACCCACCAACAGGGTTCGAACCCAGGACCTTCCGGTTACAAGGCAAGCTCGTATACCATTAAGCCACTGGGACCCGATTCAATGACCCTTGAATTCTAACTTCTACCAATTCGTGATTTAGCGCGACCACCAACCAATGTCGTCGGTGGGAAATCCACTCTCACACTTGACTGGTTGGACCTTACTGGTCATGACTGCTCACTTGAACCCCAGAAAACTCCATCCTGTAGCAAGTCACTAGCGAACATCAGATTAATTTATGAAGAGTTAATTTGTAAGGATTAGATTTGTTTTTACGAGTTTGACCACGGATTCATATCAGTTAGAGAAAAATGGAGAACCATGATTCCCAAACTAGGATGAAACAGCTGTCCAGTACTCCCTGGTTTTCAATGGTTCTCTAAATGATTATTTGTATCAATTTCTAAGGTCATGATGCATACATACATATGGACATCGCGATAACAAATAAATATCAAGTCCAACAAGTGTATGGTCAGAGAACACTATTAATTGCAAATCATCCACCTATTCTCTATTATTTCAAGTGTATGGTCAATAAGAATTAGGTGGTAATTTGTTTACTTAATTGCAAAGTGGTGTGATATTCATAAAAGTTTATTTTAGCAGAATAAATGGAGTTACCCTGGTGGAGATAATAAGGGAGTGTATACAACTAGACTTTAAAATATTGAAGTGAAAAGAGGATTTTTCAACTTAATATATTTGAACCAAATTTGACTTTCGAACGTGTTTGAATTAAATTCAGGAAATAATTTAAACATTTCAAAGCAAGATTATTATTCGACTGTGATTCGTAATTTCAATTATTCTTAGATAGTTTGGTGGCACAGTAGTTAGGACTCTCGCCGACCATGCACATGGTCTGGGGTTCGATCCCCTGCCGACGCACACCCGATATCTATGGTCGGCCTGCAAAATTTGGGCTACCGATATCCATGTTAAAAATTCCATACTTGTACTAAAAATACGGTGTGGAGTCAAGCTGTAATCAAAATTTAAAAAAAATAAAAATTAATAATAATGGTAGGACAAATGAATAACAAAGAAAAGGAAGGAAGAAAAAAGATTTTGAATCTAAAGGGTATGATATCAAGGTAGATTTGGGCCGTCTACCGTCTCGTCCTGTATATCAAGATTCGGTTCTTCAATCGAATAGTATGAGCTTCAGCAAACCGAAGTACTTTCTTGTTACCGTGCTTATTCATGATTTTTTTTATTCCTATACGTCCCCAGTGGAACATAGGGCTTTAAGCTAGAGCTTGGAAGTTTTGGTAGTAGTGGTGTTTATTTTTACGGGATGGAGTTGCTAGCCTCATGCCCAACCTTCCCTCTTTACCAGTCTTATTACTGGCTTAGTGAGGTAAAGGAGTGCGTCGGTCGAGGATCGAAACCCGAACCATATGAGTGGTGAGCATTCTACCGCTATGCCATCGACTCACTTATCCGCTACCGACGCACACCCGATATCTATGGTCGGCCTGCAAAATTTTGGCTACCGATATCCATGCTGAAAATGCCATACTTGTACTGAAAATACGGTGTGGCATCAAGCTGTAACCAAAAATTAAAAAAATAGATTACCAAGCTTTAATTCATCAAAATGGTATGGTCACAGTCTGATAAATAAAATGTGAAAGAGCTTCTTGGCATGCTATCATGAATAATTAAGTACCATTTAGGACAGTAAATAGCAAGATGAACCTACAGAGATCTTTCTGTACACTAAATGTATACGCATGTAAATTGGTGTATGCATTTCGATGTCAGTTTATAAAATGATATAAATAATCCTGATTATAGAGTGTTCAGCTGACGAGTTCTGCCGAAATTGACGAATTCATAAAATACTGCTTTTTTCATAGCTGTTACTTATCTTGTGAAATTCGATTGTTGACATATTACTACAGAGTATTTTGATACAGACTTAGTGGTTTTTTCTGTATCAAACTTTACCGATTAATGCCTGCACTTTTTCATAAAACTTTTCACATTTCACTTTTTTCCCCCCAACATAGTTCTTATACACTTTATTTCGACGAAAATATGGAAAGAGCCTATTCCAGATTCGATGTTATCACCCTCAAATTCAGATTCTTCTCCCATGCCAAGATTAATGATTCAGTTAGTCTCAGCTCCTCTAGCAGGTATTTCATCTGCTATCATTGTAAACCCTCTTGATGTTGTTCGTGTTAGAATGCAGGTGAGTCTATGTAGAGCGTTTATTTTTACTCGTTTCTTAGTTGATCCTTGTCTAAGTAGAACAATGTATATTAGTTACCCGAATAAGTGGAGATATTCTCAGCTAGTTACTTTGTGGTAGTGATCTTGGTTTATTGTGGAATACTTCAGCATTGTTGAATTGTGTTGTGGCTCGTAGTGTTGTTTCTCAAGTTTCCCCCTTGTGATTCTCTCATTTGGTTTCATATTTAGACATATATGTTGGAAGCCAAAGTCACTTTATAAAAAGCCTTCATGGCAGTGCAGCAGCACTGTATTATCTTTTACACACAGTGAGATAATAAAGATTGCTGTGAATATACTACTTAGTTAACACAGAGAGATTTCATTGACCCATTAGTTTTTTGTTTAGTTTATGATTAATACTGCTACTATGAAAATAACACTACACACTACTTGCCCATTCATGTGTGTTGGATTTATTCATTTAACGCATTCGTAGTTCTTAATCATATTCTATCCAATACTAAAGATCAAAACTCGTGCATAATCATGTCTCAGTCATTTTAATTCACTGATAGGTTTGATATGTCTATGAAACACGATGTCTTTTAGTAGTTGTGAAGATAATACTAGTTGTTAGTGTGTTCAGATTAAAGCCGGTAAAACCATTCGATTCAATTCTGTACATATAAAGATTAGATATTTCTAAAATGTCTCTGTGTTTCTGACAGTTCTTCTGCGTTTGTTCTGTTGAACGAAAAGACAGACATTTGGCACTGAATATAAAGGAATAGTTGTGATGGACTGTTGCAGAAACGATAGGATCTACATTTGTTTGACAATCAATAAGGATTCGGAAATTAGAAATTTAAAAATAACTAAGCGAGCTTCAAGTGTAATAGAAGCACATTGATATATATATATATGTATATATATATATATATATATATATATAACACCTCTACAAGAGTAGTTAAACAGAGAAATAATAGATTATGTAACCTGCTCTTTCGTTGTTAATTAATTGCAAAGTAAAGGGTACAAGTTTACTACGATAGATTATGTATCCCAATCTTGTGAACTATACTGTTATTTAAAAAAATCAAGAAATATGAAAAAAATATGGTAGATAATGAATTCATACACTTTAGGAGATCTTATTATCTGGTCACTGTACATACATGATTGTTTCCAACCTATCATAAGGTTAACAAACATATGAACATCGTAGAAGTTGTGGAAACAAAGAACTAATGCGTTCATTAGGCAATAGACGGCCTGATTGAATCAATGGGTTGCCGAAATTGCTTTCCACCAACATGCTTAATTTCATCTGGATTTATCATTGTTTTAATCTACTAGTTATAACGAATAACCTATACATGAATTTGCTCTCTGATTTAACTTGCTTCCAAGTAAACGCTTCGGATTATTACTTTACATGGATATCCACAAGGCTACATGGGTGTCACCAGACGGGCGAACCAAAAACCAAATTGACTTCATCTCAATCTCAAGGAAGTGGAGGCGCAGCCTACTGGACACAAAAGTAGGAAGAGGAGCAGACGTTGGCTAAGACCACTATCTCGTACAAGGGACAATCCAAATCAAATTAAAAGCTTTCAGAGAAACAGGAGCTGCAGATAGACCACAAGCCAAGTTCAACACTCAAAAACTGAAGGACCAGGACACAAAGGACATCTTCACTGCAAGCATAAGGGACACAAATCAACACTGGCGAAGAGGTCAGCGTCGAAAAGCACTGGAACAACTTGAAAACAGTGTGGAGTCAAACCTGCATGGAAGTTCTAGACAGAAAGAAGAGACAGGACAAACAGTGGCTCACTACGGACACTTGGAGACTGATAGAAGAGAGAGGGATGGCGAGACAAAAGATTCTCCAGTGCACCGAAGAGCAACAAAAACAAGGTTTGAATGCAAACTACAAGACACTGATTAAAAGAGTAAAGAAGAGTGCCAGAGAAGACAAAAGAAAGTATTATGAAACCATGGCATGTGAAGCAGAACAAGCTGCAGGCAAAGGAGACCTCGCAACACTCAACCAAACAACTAGGTACCTATCGGGCAAACGTTTGACACAAATTGAGCCAGTGAAGGATGACAATGGAAAGTCACACCAAAGAAGTGGAGCAAAGGAAACACTGGGCTGAACACTTCAAAATCTTGTGTAAAGAAAAAAGTATTTCGGAACTAAATACACTGAAAATGTTTGTACCATTTGTCCGCATATTTTCTGAAATAAAGCTTTATTATTATCATTATTATGCCCTTATTTTTAAGATAATTTATTAAGCATCGATATGGAGTAAATCCTGCCGTTATTTTGCATTACTATTGTCAGGAAAAGTAACCTATTCACAAACGGGTCACTACACTATGACTTCTCTACTCCAATGTAAGTGTGTAATCACTGACTGACTGGGAAGAAACTCCTCTGTTCAATGTGCCATCTTTCAGTCTCAATAAACACCCGATATCTATGGTATGCCTGAATTTGGGCAACCGATATCCATGCTGAAAGTTCCACACTTGTACTGAAAATACGGTGTGGAAATCAAGCTGTAAATCAAAAAATAAAATAAAATAAAATTTTCCTCTGTTATAAATTAAAATTAATCGAAGGTGAATGTAATTCGAATATGCCTCCAGAATTTTTATCTTATTAATAAAATAAATTATACCATTGAAACAAATCAGTTCGTTAGTGTTTTAATCGATTTTATATGAAGATAAAGATACATAGAGCAGGCGGAATTATAACTCTGTAAGACTTCTAGATGCCGCACTGCACATCAGTGTATTAAAGTAGAATAGACGGGAGTTTGTAAAACATCGAGAAGACATTAAAATGGTTAGTTTGTGGTGAGAGCTGTCTACCAGCCAAAATTGTAGACATCAATTTACGTCAATGTTTACATCCCGAATCAGGGTCATGAGAAAAAAACAAGAACAAAGCCTAATCTTGCGGAACTCAACAACTAATCAGAACAGAATTAACGTGGGCGGATATGATTCTCAGATATATCGTCGGACTGTCTAAGAAACGGCAACAAAGAGATGACAGAATAACATTCACCAGGAAAACAACCAATCAGAAGACGTCGCTTCTCTGCTAACAATAACGAATAATAATGTATATAAAAATCTACGAATATGTGTTGATTTTCTCAATAAACGATCTGTCTTTTGTTGTTACAAGGTTATCAAGTTATGCTATGAATTTATCCAGGCCACTGGGAGCTATATTGTGACTACCCACCTCAGGTGCTTAGTTGTCTATTTTAGTTGTATTGTGGACGCAATTCAAAGATTTTATTTTCCCGTATACGTTGAATTAGAGTCAAAGCACTGTATTGTAAACAAATGCTACTGAATTTCATACAACATACTGAAGTTTTATAGTAGTTTGGTACACTTAAAGCAACAGGCCAACCAAGAACCTATCACCTAACAAATACGCAGAGGGGAATGGAGGTATGTTGGACATACGCATTGAAAATTTTTAAGTGACATGATGCATGAGGTCTTCGAGTGGAACCTGAATGGGAAACGACAAGTTGCGCATTCGACGGTGATATAGAGGAGATTGTGTGAGGAGGAAATGAAAGCTTACAGGTTATCGTGAAGCCAGCTAAAAAAGACTACATGGAGCAGAGAGAAATGGTGATGTTCTTCTGAAACCCTATGTTTCACTCAAAGCCCAAGAGGATAGTAATAATGCATATTTCAGTCACATAAGCTAATATTAGCTTACGAGACTACAAAGTGATTGCTTTCTTTTCCAGTACGCTGCTTGTTAATTGATGTGTTAATTCTACGTGACTTTTATTTTCAGTATAATAGCCATTACAAAAGTAATTCCTTAGAGCCTACATTTTTATTCCTATTTTCCCACATGTTTCTCATATTTCTTTCATTTATTTTTCAAAAAAAATAATTCAGGTTTCACATATGCCATTCAAACAAAGTGCTGTTAATCTATGGCAAACTGAAGGAATACGTTGGTTTTCTAAAGGTTTATCCGCACGACTTGTTCAAACAACAATGTACTCATTTTGGCTTGTCTTAGTTTATGAACCTATGAAAATATTTTGTTTAAAAGATGATTATCGTGATAGATTTTATGCTTTACAAACGGATAGATAATAAGAAAAGTTTTCTCTGCATATATTCTACTGTGAAAATAAAAAACACAGCACACACAGAGTGTGTGATCATTGCCAACATTATACTGTACACATGTGTTTCAATACTTTTTTTCTTTTCTTAACCATTTCTGTTTTGAATTAAAGTGTTGTATACACTCTAAGTCAATTGATTTCGATGTATTGTGATACATAGTGATGATAGTAGTAATTTGAGATATTGGTCACTTTGTGTTCTTTCCACAGTTACATTTTGTCTCAATAGGTATATTGTATTTATGTATGATTATTATTATTATTATTATTAGTATTTTTCCTGTCTATCGTGTTCTAGTTTTTAATTTTTACCCTATTCACACCTTTCTGTCAACTCTTTTTGAGATAGTTTATTCAGCATTGAAAAAGATTAGATATTACTCTTATTTTTATAAAGTTAAACTTGTTACTGGAGTTTCAGGAGTTTCAAATTACACACACCTAACCTGCACTAGAAGTATTGTGCTTTAATTAAACAGTTAGTTAATTTATCAATGACTGACTAGTTTTCAACGTAGAACTTTGCATAGAAGTGATGCAGTTCAAGTTACTACACTTTGTGTAGCAGACAAAGGTAGACAAAAGAGGAAAAAGATTAGAAAGAATTATAATTAGAAGAATTGATAGTAACAATGGATATTCGAGATTACAAAGAGTGGATACATCTGCGCCACTGAGAATGATTTCGAGCCATATCACCGATTGTCTGCAGTCATCGGTTCTTAGAATCCCGAGGACAGTCTATATCTTCTTACATGTCTCAAATCGACTGTCAAACACTTCATGAATCAATACCAGGTTTCGATTTGACCACCCCTAACTTTTTACACCTAAGATTACCCCGTCGAGGAGGCGATTGCCCAGTGTGTGCAACACATGTTCTAGCCGCTTCAACTGGTGTAGCTTCACAATCCCATCGACCGACTCTCCTTTATTACCTAGCACTCTGCGCCTAACCTTAATATTATCCAGCATATTATACCATTTAACAACGGAAATAGAACGCGAACACCTATCGTCACAGACAGTTACACTTTTCCAGTTTTCTACTTTCAACGGTCACATTTGACAGTTATAAGGAAGGACAATGTGAACTGCTGCGCTGTACACATATCCTTTGATAAATGACTGGATATCACATACATATACTAGAAACGACGTAATTTGGCAAATGCCACACGAGCCTTTTGTATCAATGCTGAGATTTCGATAGCTATCACTCCATATGGTCTGATGCAACTTCTCAAACAGGTGCAGCGGTCAATACTATCGACCACTTCGCTCCTTATCTTTAAACTTAAAGTTGGTGCAATCCTCTTCTGCAGCATGAGTATATAGTTTGGGATGAATAATGTTTATGCCGATAATGTATGGAGTGCATTCTGTCTTTATTAGTTTAAACAAGTCAGTTAGGAGCATTGACCATTACACAGTGCATCTAACTTACAGTCTATTCATTAGCTTGTACATATAGGCTAATTATTGTTATATCATGAAAGGTAATGAATAACACAATACTGAGTGTGGTTATCTTGAATACCTAGTATTTTCATTCCGGGATATAATATGAGAGCCAATTTTCGGTTTTTGACAAACTTTTTCAACCAATTGAAATTCAGTGTTCATATTGATTCACATGCGGATTGTATTGAAATTGGGGAAATTTGTTTTCTTTACATGTTCATCTTATCAGTAGATTAAATAATTTTGACTGTAGTTAGTTTAAATCCCCAGTCCTGGAATGTAGTGAGATTCTATTTTACCTCTTAGTAAAGAAAGGCTCATTTTCGCATACCTAAGAATATTTGCACCAATGGTATTTACGATTAAGTTTAAGAAGCTTGTAGATTGCATAGATTTTTAACGTGTTTTGTTCTCCTGGATTATGGTCATATCCCCGTTGTGGCGGATTGTTCATATTCACTACGCCAAAAAAAGTCCATCAAAATAACCTCCATTCCCCTATCAAACCGAATATTTCAGTGGGAAATTTTTTTTCCTTTACGTTCCCCAGTGGAACATAGGGCTTCAAGCTAGTGGCTTGAAGTTTCTATAGCAGTGTTTATTTTACAGGATGGGGTTGCTAGCCTCATGCACAACCTTTCCTCTTTACCAGCATTATTTCTGGCTCAGCGAGGTAAAGGAGTGCGTCGGACGGGGATCGAACCCCGGACCATGTGCATGATCGGCGAGCGTCCTAACTGCTATACCACCGACGCAGTGAGAAATAATCTACCATAATGTTATTTCTAAAAATTCACAATTATCTTAATAAAATCACCCCATGTTCATCTTTCCTTTTACTGACCTTCAGTTACTTTCATGTATAAGTCTACTATATTTTCTAATCAGTTGGCGGTTCAGAGGTATAATCACTGACCTCCAATTGATTTTGTGATTCTAATCGTTTCAGAAAGTCATTTTCTTCATAACTTAGTGGTTATTGTCCGTCGTATTATATCAATGAATTTTGAGTCATCCTTGCGGATATTTTTTGATGATTTCATTAAGTTTTGTGAATCCATAAGTGTGTGGTTAAAAATACTCAGGTTCTAACATGTAAGGAGCTTGGTTGCACGGCTTCTTACCCAGTGGTTCCTTCTGAAAATATGTATTATACATTAGAATGCTATAATCTGAACAATAAAAATAAAGTTGAATAAGGCAATGAGAAGACAAATTTCGCGAAATGATATCATTTCGTTGTTTCTTTACAACCGCCTTACAATTAACATAGTTAACAATAATAATAAAATATAATGCGTGACAATTACTCAGTTATGTGAAACAAGAGTACATACTAATGACCAATCATATTTATGTAGATCAAGTAGTCCATGGTAAGCGAAGGCTGAAGTTTATTGTTTTTTTGTACACATAGTTTAGGATGTATGTGATTAATCCAAAGTGCTTCCATCACCTTCAATAACCTTGAATTAGAGTTATGTGAAACAATTGTGAAACAGTCATTAATATTGATTTTGTGACCTGACATTAATACGTGTTTTGCAATAGATGATGCTGGATTTCTATTCGGATTAACTGTATTCGGATTTTCTGTGTTTTAATAACCATTTTGGAACATGTTCTTTTCGAAGACATTGAAACATTCTATTGGTTCTACCTATATAGGTGTCACCGCAACTGCAGGGGAACTTGTAGATACAGTTTAAAGTAGAGTCCACAGAATTTTGCCCTTTAATCGTTGGTACGGGGATTGGAAATGTTCGAGATGTGAGGGCAAGAGATGCGGCGTAGAATGTGCGTTTGATGGCTGACCAATGTCTTTGAGCTGTCAGCTACATAATTTGATCAACCTTGAATGGTAGGTTAATAAAGACAGCTTTCTTTGGTAAAGAAGCCGTATTTTCATGATGTGATCTATCCTTGCCTTGACAATTGATGAAGTTTTCTGGATAAACATTAGCTAATAAAACTGAATGTATATAGCGAAGCTCATCCATCAATGCGTCGCTCGCACATATTTTACGGGCCCTTGAAAACAAATATTTCACTAGGGAACGTTTATACTGGATAGCAACAAAACTGGTGAAATGAAGATATTGTCCACTCCATGTCTTTTTGCGAAATATAGATCGCTTAATCGTTCCATCGTCTCTCCTGGTCATTGAAATATCCAGGGAACCGAGTTAGTTATTCGGTTCGAATTCGGAAGTCACTCGAATATTTGGATGAATATGATTAAATAGAGCAGTAAAGTTCTCAACAGACTTAGTATCATTACCAATAATGAGTGTATTATCCACATAACGTCTATATAGCATAAATTCTCCTAGCATACCTTGCATTTTTTTTCTCCGATTTCGACGTGAATATATCTGCTAACAGTGCGTCGGTGGCACAGCGATAGAATGCTTGCCAGCCATGCAGGTGATCTGGGGTTCGATACCTGGCCGGCGCACTCCTTTACCTTACTAAGTCAGTAATAGGACTGGTAAAGAGGGAAGGTTGGGCATAAGGCTAGCAACCTCACCCCGTAAAAATAAACACCACTGCTACAGAAACTTGAAGCCCTATGTTCCGTAGGGAACGTAAAGGAATAAAAAATCTGCTAACAGGGGCCCAGGAGGGCTACCCACCGCAACACCATCGATTTGTTTGTATGCCTTTTCTTGGAAGGTGAATCTGATATTTACTGTACATGTTAAGATAATGTCTCTGATGTAAGTGACAGGAATAAGTAAGTTTATCTGATTGCTTGTGGTGTAATCGCAAATGAAATCAGCAGTTTCATGAAGAGGGACATTGGTGAATAAAGATTCTATGTCGATAAACTTCAACCTTCGCCTAACATGGATTGGTCATTAGTATGTACTTTTGTTTCATATAACTGAGTAATTGTCACGCATTATATTTTATTATTATTGTCAACTATGTTAATTGTAAAGCGGTTGTAAAGAAACAACGAAATGATATCATTTCGCGAAATTCGTCTTCTAAATGCCTTATTAAATTTTAATCAGAGCGACTAACTGTTTTAATAAAATAAAGGATTCACCATTTATTTTGTGCAGCGACTTCCTTGACCAACTTAGCCATAAAGAACGAGAAGTTTCATAAGAAAATTGTCTGATAAACAAAATAATTTCAGTAGCATCACATTTACAGTTATTCTGTAACTTCAGAAATTCAGGTGACTGAAATCAGCTGTTAATCAGTATGCATGACATTGGAATAAAATTTTGTTATTTTTAGCTACTGAAGTTTATTATAAGTAGTTCATAGATTATATAATGCAGAATTTCCGTCATCATTCCCTCCATAAAGTTAACCATGGAAGTAATCTTCAGTTTTATGCTAATTACTTTCTGTGAATATACGTGATATGATTTAGTTTAGTCTTTGTCAGACAGGACAAGATACTCTTTTCTGTCTGTTGTGAAAGCATAGTTATACTACTCAGTATTTTGTAAGTTCAAGTGACTGTTTTTCTTTGATTGAGTAAACGTGATTGAGTTTTGCTCTATTTTTGATTCTGAGGGAGTAAATTTCTAAGAAGGCCTATTTTAAGTGATCAAATAGGTAAGTGATAGGTTACTGGACAAAGAGCGAAGGAGATTAACAAAAGTGAGAGGCTATTCAACAGTCATATGTGTTTTCATGCACTTGGCAGTGAGCCAAACCTATTGCTTGAATGGTGATGATGATATCCAGCTGCTCCAGCTCTAGTGAACACCAATGAAACATGCATAGTGTACTTATTTTCGTATGTCAAAATGAATTCAGTATGATTGCAGTAGTTTTCACTTTAGTATCACTCCTGTCGCCATTGAAGATTCATCTTATTTACCAGCATAGCTAACAACG